AAAAGTGGTCTTGTCGCTGTTGCTGCTGCTGTAGTCGTTGATGCTGGAGTACCAAAACTGAAGGCTGGTGTCGTAGTATTAGCTGGTGTTGCAAAATTGAATGGTGTAGTGGTAGCTGTGGTAGTTGCAGTAGGAGCACCAAATAAAGGAGCTGTAGATGATGTTGTGGTAGCTGCTGGTGTACCAAATGTAAATGGATTTGCTGTCGGAGCTGTGGTTGTAGTCGTGCCTGCAGGAGTACCGAATAGAGTGGGTCTTGTCGTAGAAGTTGTACCGAATGAAAATGCCATCTAAAATATACAAAGTAAAATCTCTATAAAGTAAATAAAATTTAGAAATCATTAAAAAAAATGCAAAGATTGATAATAAAATAACATAGGTTACAAATTTCTCGACAATAATAATAATAGTATGTTTACTTTCTATTAAATAATAGACTAGAGAAATATGACAAATTTAAGAATATATTTTTCTCTTTAAAATAAAATATGACACAACAAGAAAGTAAGCTGGTAGACAGACAGAGGAAACCATTCTTCTCGAAGTGAAATTTATCGTTGTTTAAATGATTGGAGTTATTGAGCAACCTGTCAGATGGTGGCGCTGGATGAGGTCGCTATGAAACTGTGTTATTCGACTCATATTGAAACCTTTTGATTTTTTTTGTCATAAAGTGCGCGCATCGGCGATATATTTTATTTTCTAATTTATGAACACATTCAAAATTGTGTTAGAAAAATTTTGTCATTCGATTAATAGTGATACATAATTGTATTGCATTTTATATGATAAGAAGATATTTTTATCTTGAATTTTCATGTTCTTTATGAATATCAATGTCAATTGATTTTTATTTTCATTGAGATGATAGATAAAAGTAAACCTGTCTTTAATAGATAACTTATGCATAATATTTTATTTGATTGAAAGTACATCAATATATGAATTATAATTTCCATGTGATGTGTACAATCATAATGATTAAGAAAATAAAAATAAAAAATAATTCTTGAATATTAAACAAAAAGAGAATATTCAATTTTTACTTCTTTTTCATACCATATCAATCATTTATTATGGCAACAGTTTTCTAATTTAGTTTGAACAAATCAAGAACTCATTTTTGAAAGAATATCATTATCATCAGGTAAACTTTGATGTTGAGTTTTTAGTTACATTAATAATCATACTGAATTGGTTTTATTGAAGTACTTTTGTTTAAAAAAAGATGAATTATTTATTGAAAATTATAATATTATCAACAACAAAGTTCAGATAGTACGAGTTATAACAACGAAAGTTCTATGCGGTGTTTTCGTTTCACCAATTCAATCTCCAAATGATGTTACACATAATGGAGTATCACTCTATTTCAGTGAACTTTTGAATAAAATCAATATTTATTCCAAAAGTACTTTTGAAATTAACTCGATATGGCAAAGATATTTTCATTTGTTTAAAAACTATTTCTAAAAAAAAAATTATGTTAAACAAATAATATGTTTGAATGAAATGAGACGAAAAACTAGATAATGATTAGCTTGAAACTCATTAACTCTTAAATGAATTAGATAAGCATAGGGCGTGACGATCTTCTTCTATGTTTCCGAAACAATATAAATCTTTTCCATCGATGTATTGAAATATGTCAAGAAAAAAAAAGTTCATTTGGTAAATGTTCAATATCGGATAAACTTATGTATTGATTCATAGTCTATAAAATATTCATTAAAATAAAAACAAACTTGCAAAATGGTTGTCTATTAAAATTTATTGAAAATATCAATTCAATTAAATTCGAATAAAAAAAAAAACAACAAATATTCACAGCCAAATTTGAAACCAATTATCACAAAAGCCAACTTGATAATTTTTGTCGGAATTTTTTAATCGAGATGTATATTTAATAAGCCATTTTTGAATATATTCTAATGAAATATCATTTGATATTTGTCCATTTATTGTAAATACAATAAGTTGTTTACAACTATCTAAAATTGAACCGATAATATTTGTTTCAATTAAACTGTCTGTTTTATATTTAATTTTCAATGAATGTATATCACTAAAAATTTTTGATAAACTATGAATATGTTCATTTTTAAGTTTAATATCATTATTGTTTCCATCAATAAATAAATGAAGAACACGTGGGAATATTAAATCTTCATCAGTATTTTCGAATAATTTAATAATACAATCAATATCAATACATAATGTACTGATATTATGAGCAGCAATAAGTAATGTTTTAAAATGTTGCCAATTATCTACTATTCCACATATAGATATTATCTCAAGTTGTTTTAATTTTGGAAGATTAATAATTGTTTGTGTATTTGTCTTAACTAGAATAAAAGTATTAAAATTAATTGTAAGAATATTTTGATTTAATAATAACGTGCGATCTGCTCTTATATTACAGAAAACATTTCTCAATTGATTCATAAATAGTTTTTAGTTAGTAGATAATTGAGGTGCACTCGAGAATGTTGTAAAAATTTTTAATGTTTTGATTTTTAGTATAGCATGACACCAACTTATCAGATTGAAAAAAGTTTTAAGAATATGTTTAGCTGGAAAAATGACTTGCAACAATATACATAGTTAATAATGAGAAGTGCATTTATTCGATTTGTGCTGCACTCAGATTTCGAAACTTTTTAGACACGTTATGTGTAATCGATGCTATGTGGGTTTTCTAATGCTAAAATTGAAGTTACAAGTTACTGTTCTATCAATTGTTTATAGTAAATCTGCTCAGTTTTAATTAGAATACTTCAAATCTATAAAAGACGCTGTTTCAGAATTGATCAGATTTAATTGAAATCGATGAGTTTTCCGATAAAGTTCGAACAGCACTGAAACATGCTGTTTTTAGACTTGATCGAATCTCATAAAAGTTTTAAATAGAAAACTTGAAGCTGAACACAGTCGTTCTAAACTATTGATAGAACAATAGCTTTTCAATACTAAAAAAATGTTATCTTTGAGACTATAGTTCAAGAACTAATGCATCTCTTATGGATGCAGACCAAAGTTTTCGAACAAATTAATTTAAATATTCGTGAAATTTATTTTTTCAGATCTTTACTCATGTATAATCGAGAAAATTTGATAATCCAATAATATTCGATGTATTACGACTAATAATGATTTCTACACACCGAGTCTTGACATGTTTAACTACTCTAAAATCACGCAGCCAGTTAAAGTTAGTGCATGAAAAATTAATTTTAGCAATACGTCAATAATAATGAATAGCAATAAATATTTAATAGCTCCATATGCATTAGTCGATCTGATACTCTCAATGTAGCTGTTTTCAAAATATACAATTGCTACTCGAAGGATTACTTTCAACGGAATATCAGTGAGAAAAAGATTGGAATTTTTGACAACTTACAATTGTTATCATCAACACTGTTAAACAATGTATACGGTAATAATATGCAAAAAAAAAAGAAAAACCAATGTATAGTGATGAACAAAAGCTTAGAGCAGCTATATTTTTGTTTTTTTCTTCTCAATGGCGATAGCTTACAAAAATCTAATAAAAATGAAAAAAATCATCACATTTAATTGAATCTGAATGAAAATATTTTCAAATCTTTTTTTTTTTCTTTTTGTAATCCTATTTAATAGATTTAATGTATTGCTTCTACCTGGTAAAGTTGTTTTATTTCTATCTATTTGAATATTTAAATCTTGTATTTTTCGACAATGTTGTATAATTGTAAATGTTTCAAGTAAAGTTTTTGCATTACATATACATAAATATTGAATATTATTATAAACTTGATCACCTAGACTAATACCAAATTTATTAGGTAATATTGAATGTAAATTAAGAAGAATAGATGGATATGGTAATGTATGAATAAGTATATAAGATTTCTTTTCATCTTTATTAATTGTATAAGCAATAGAAATTGGATTCCATGATTTTGAAAGATTTTTTGAATCAATATGATAATCAGCATATGTAGAAAAATATATAGCATATTTCAATGTTTGTATGAGATTATTGTTATTAAATAATTGAGAAGATAAAAGTGTAAATAAATGTTGACCATAGACAAGACGTTCATCTCTAGTAGTAAGAGCTAGTGAAAGTTGTTCAATAGTTGGTGTAAGTTGAAGTATTGATGAAATATTATCAAATGTTGAATAAGAATCTAAAGCATCAAGAGAAAAATGAGTAAGACATTGAAATGGTATTATATCTTTAGTAATTCCGCATAATTCTTCAATAATAACATGAAGTCGACGAATATTTGGAATAAGAATTGCAAGAGAAACTAAATCCTTAGATGTTGATAATGATATACTCATTTCTATAAGATTTGAATGAGTTATAATATTGTTTTGATTAAGTAATAATGTCATTGAATAACAATCAGGTTCAAAATAAATATATTCAATTTGAGTATTTTTATGAGTTATTTCTAATAAATGTTTTTGATCTTCACTTGAATGCGTAATTGAATTTTTATGATTTACTTGTCGTAAACCACGAATAACAATTGTACGAAGATATTTAAGTTGATTTAAATGATTTTCAAGAAATGAAAATAATTCTTCATTTTTCCAATCATCTAATGCTAATTTTTGTAAATTAGGAAATATATTATTCATATGAAAACTGAAATTTTCTAAAAAATATGTTTGTTGTAATCGATTTATTGTTAATGAAATAATATATGCACCCATTTTTGGTAAAACATTCAAATAAATATAAAGAAATTGTTTATAATTTAATCGACGAAGTATAACATGATGACAATAATCAGTTATTGTATTATTAATACGTGAATTAATATTATAAAATGAATAAAGTACATGACCACAATGAAGATATCGATATATTTCGAGAATAATTTCATCCGGAAAATATTCAAATTTTGATTTCCAAAAATTATTCATCTAAAATAAATTTTCTTCTTTTTGTATTAAAAAAAAAAAAAAACCTAGAAATTTTATCATTAAAAAATTTCTTCTTATAACCATAATTTAAACCATTCATTACTACATTCTACTCGAAATATGTCTAGAGATTTTATACGAAATGAACTTTGTTTAATCACCCATTGTCGAATATCATTCTCCAACATATCATTTGGAATTTTACCATAGATATGAAATATAACAAGTTGTTTAAACTCATTTATGATAGATTTTATTATATTTAATTCAATATATTCTTCTGATGTTTCATAATCTATTGTTAAATTTCTGACACGAGTAAATATTCGTGCGATAAAATGAATTTTTTCAATAGTTAATTTTGATTTTTTTGTTTGTTCATTGTTATTATTATCTGGAATACGAACACAAAGATCAAGTATATGTCGATGAAGAAGAACATATAAAATAAGTGGTTCATCTTTATTTTCAAGTAATGCAAGTAAACAATCTAAATCAATGACTAATACACATAAATTTGGTGCAGCAAGAAGTAATTCTTTTAGATGTTGTAAACCAGATGGAATACCTTCAATTGTTAGAAGTTCAAGACGGCCAAGATATGGAAGTTTTACAGGTGGTTTATTGTTATTAGCTAAAAACATGAAAATGTTTTTTTTTTTTGTTATAGAAATAATTCAAGTTCAACTACAAATGTCTTTAGAGAAGAATATTTGTCGATTATATTAGCTATTAAAGACTAGAAGCAACTAACGAGTATTCCAGTTGACATTTCACTAAATTTTGGAGTTTATTTCTCTTACTTTCTATTCGTAAAAAACATTTTTTTAATGCTAAAAGAAGAAAATACAAAACTCTATGAAATGGGCTCATTGGCTTGTCAATAAGTTGTCTCTGTCAGTGACAATTTTAAAAGATGAACATCCATTGCATTGATTAACTGCGACGTTCAAAAAATTCAAAATATATCAAAAGTTTTCTTTTTATAAAAGATTTCACTACAGGGTGATTGAAAAGTAACTAGCTATTTTAAATTCTTTATTACTCTCATACAACAAAAGATATCGTCCTGATTTTTTCACCATCTTGAAGCATGGACTATGCCGTTTTGTTCTAGATGAAATAAGTCGATTGATTATCTGACTGTCTAAGATGAAGCACAAAGTTAGTTTAAAATACATCAAAATGACTTTTTATTTTGAAACTATTACCAAAGTATCTTTGTAGTAATAGCTACAAGTTCGATTACAAAAATGTATCGACAACAAAGGAGGTTATGTGGAATTTTGAGGCATTGCATATTACGAAACTAGATACACTTCAAAGCAGTAAAAAAAAAGTTGTTATTGTATCTGTTTTCCTATAAGAATAATAAACTGCTTAAAAGATGAATCATTTTCATGTATTTTAAACCAACTTCGTGCTTCATCTTAGACAGTCAGATAATCAATCGACTTATTTCATCTAGAACAAAATGGCATAGTCCATGCTTCAAGATAGTGAAAAAATCAGGACGATATCTTTTGTTGTATGAGAGTAATAAAGAATTTAAAATAGCTAGTTACTTTTCAATCACCCTGTAGATTTTTAAGAATACCAAAAAACCATATATCAAAATTTGCACCTTTCGATGTATGTTTTATAATATTAAGTGGAATATTTGGGATACGCAACTTGGAAATTAAAAAAGACTGAAAAAACCAAAGAAAATCGTTTATGATAGACCTGTACAATTCTTCTTCTTTTTTTCTTTTTAATTTGTAAATAATCTTAATATGTTTACTCTTCATTTTAATAGTTACACTATTTTGTTTAATATTAAATTCTACATATGATAGTCGAATAATAAACTTCGTTCGAGAATGACGCTTGGCTTATGAAAATATGCTTTTCTGAACTGCACCCCACACTATTGACACATGTCGGTTCTAAGCCTTTTGGCTTCTGAGCTACACATTTCCATAAACTTAGAAACGGTTGTGAAAGTATAAAGGTTGAAATTTTTCTATTTATTAGTATGAAATAATTATTTGTAGCGACTACCTTAATGAGCAAATGTTTCCACTAATCAATAGTTCTTAAAAGAAAATAGTAAATCGCAGCTGAATGATTGTGTATATATATAAACCATTTCACTTTGACATTGACAAAGTAAACTTGTAGGAAAAACTAAGTAGATAATTTTGTAGAACTTCAAATTCTCTATCTTTAGATATTCAAATAATCTATTTTGATGAATAGCAAGTGACAGAAAGAAACACCAAAATTTAGTGCAATTTCATCTGAGATATCTGTTAGTTTGAATTGAATTGTGAATTAAATTTGAATGCCATCAGTTTCAATCTCGATTATAATATAAAAAAAAAAGGAATGAAATTGCTGTACCAAGTGCAACAAAGATTTGATCAGCATAGAACTGAAAATTAATTTTTTATCATTTTCTATAACTTTTAGAAATATCTGTTTGTTATACTACGACCTATTTAGTTTCTAATATTATTCTTGTTCAGTCGTGGTTCTTAATTAAGGGAATTTTTCCCAAAATGTTCAACTTTCTGCCAATTTTTTACAACTTTGTGATAAATTTAGACATAAATTGGATTGCGAAATATAATTTGCCTTTCTCTGGCAAAAAGTGAAAAAAAAATTATGTGAGAGAAATCGGATCACGACAGGTTTTGTTCTTCACATTCTCTACTCATCGGGCATTACTTCTAGCACTTCGAAAATGAAAATATTTTCTGGCGACTTTTCAGCCTTTTTCATCTTTAAAAAATATCGACCATTCTGTGTCCAATGCTCTCTATTGTGAGACTAAAAATAGACTACCCATATCTAATCAGAACACTTGTGCACATGTAAGATGACAGAGAAATATTCTAGAAGTTGTTCGGTCTACGTCTACTTAATCACAGTGTATTATTAAGTAGAAAAAAATCGCAATAGTAATAATGATAAGGACAAAGTTCGTTCTTCTAAGATTATGACTTTCTTCAGGTTAAATTGACAACTATAGAATGTTCGCAATTGCGTAGGCCTTTTGTGTTTTAGAATAATTGTACAATATGTAAATAGGAAATAACGTATATAAAAGTGCTATTAGGAAGTACTTGCTCTACACTTGACGATATTACTTTTTCAAACTGTCGTAGTTTAAAATATTTTCAATTTATATTAATATCACTCAATAACAAACAACATAATCAAACTCATCAGTTTAAAAGCCAATTTCTTCGATATATAACATGATTTAAAAGAGATTCATTAAAACTAACTATACCAATTGAATTATCTAAAACTTGATTAAAACTTTAAATTAGGAGAAGAAAATCTACTGCATTTATCTTGAAACAAGCAGAAAACTAGAACGATTTACTCAGCAAATAAAACTAAGGGATAAATTATCACCTGTTTATTGTCCCTTTATCGAAAATTAAAGGTACACAAGTTTCCGTTTAGTTTTTCAAATTTTTCTTCACAGACGAGTTTTTATTATGGATGTCCTGCTCTAATCTGTGAACAGATTATCTATTTTCGATTTTGATTTGAATAGCTCTCATAATTAACTATTGTAATATTTAATTTTTGATCTACCTGAAGATGTAAATTGTGAATTTGATATTTTGGATTCATTTTCTGTCAAAAGAGTTAGTTCACGTACACGACGACATTGTCCTATAATAGGAAATGTATCCGAAAGATTCATCATCATATATACTTGAATTTGATCAATTTTTGAATAAATTGAATGCATATCTTTATTAGGCATATTTTTAGCTAAACTCGATCTTATTGTTAAACGAGATGAAGAATATGGTAATGTATGAAGAAATATTCGTTTATCAATATCACTGATTGAATATATAATAGGAATAGATTTCCATGATGTTTTAATCATATTTATGTTAGAATAATCATAATTTTTAGATGGATAATAACAAACAGTATAATTAAACTGTTTTAATTGTGAAGGAAGTATAGAAAGAAGTTTTGTACCATTAATTAAATTAAAATCACGAGTAGATATTGTCAAAGAAAATGTTTCAATTAAAGGTACGATTTGAAGTAATGATTTAAGATCAACTAACTGTGAATACCAACGAACAGCCCATACAGAAAATTCTTTTAGAAATGGAAGTATAATATTAAAACATACTTTTCTTAATGATGAATTTTTAAATGATACATCAAGTCGATGTATATTTGGTATAAAATTAATAAGGATTGATAAATCCATTAATGTATCAAGTTGAATAGTTAACGAAAGAATATTATGAGATATAATATTATTTATAGAATGATTTATGAAATCAAATGAATCACAATCATAATCAAATGTAATATCAGTTAAGAAATTAGTTTTTATATTAAAAATTTTTTCAATAAAATCTATATTTTGTATTGATGATGAACATGATAATTCTTGAATAATAAGTTTTTGTAGATATTTCATTTCGTGTAAAGTATCAATTATGAATGATAATAAATTTTCACTTGTCCAACTTGTTAGAGTTAAATTTATTAAATTTGGAAATATATTTGATATTTGATGTTTAAATGAAGATGGAAATGATGCTTGATGTAATGGATGTAATGTTAGAGAAAGAACGGATGAGCCTATTCGAGGTAAAACATATTGATATATATAAAGTAATTGTTTATACGATGCTCGACGAAACCATACATGTCGACAATAAAATGTTATTGTTTGATTTAAACGAATATTTAAATCAAATAATGAATATAGAACATGACTACAATGAAGATATCGACAGATTTCTAAGATCATTTCATCTGGTAAGATTTCAAATGTTGTTCTTGAATAAAAATGCATCTAAAATTAATTTTTAAATTTTTTTCTGTTTACTATAATTTATATTACATTCAAATATTCAGATCTTTAGAATGTTTTTTTTTTTTTTGAAAATTAACAAAGTTTAATATTATGGAGAGCAATATCTTGTTAATATATTCTTTAAATAATTGCAATACGAGTGCTAACCCTTTTTTCTATAGAAATTTTTTCTCTTAAATTCGAGCGACGTTTTCTTTTATTCTAATTATATTATGATTTTTTTTAAATATCAATAAGAGGCAATATGTCATATAAGATTTTTATATTAAAAGATTTTGACTACAAGAAGGTCAACTCAAATATATTGTCAAAGTACGAAAAAAACTCTATTTTCTATATTATTACGATTAATCAAGACATTGATCAGAATAAGTTAATTGTATTTAATTCAATTTCAAGCTATAAAAATGAGAATAAAAACAACTTTTATCATATTTTTGAATTATTGATTAGACATGAATAAAGATGTAAACAATTGACTGATATAAGTCAATTCTAATTAAAAAAAAAAAACTATACTTTTAGTATAATATTAAAGATTTATGACGTAATAACAGAAGTCATGACGAAAGAACGAGAAGACTCAACAATGACTCATTCTTTTATGTTCGACTCAGACTGGACAATTTTCGAACAATCAATTGACAAGCGAATCTAGCGCCTTTATTATTATAGCTCTAAGAATTATTTTTACAAGCCGAAGTCATTTTTTGCGAGAAAAATTCCTAGAATTTTTTTTTTTTAAGAAATATTGAAAAGTCGTGTCAATTATTGCATAACAATCCAATAGAATGAGCTGATAAATCAAAACAAAAGAGGTTTCGAATAATAAAATTTTTATTTAGGAATTGAGAAAAAAAATAAACATATTTATTACTTTATCCTGGAAACAGGACGAGTACTCTTCTGTTTTTTGATGCTCATGAATTATTAAAAAGATATGTTATAGACAAAAAATGAAATTCTAATTTTAACCAGACACGATTAGAATTCTATTATTGACTAACTGTTCATCAGTCAGAATTAGATTTCCAGTTGTGCCTGGACAATATCAAAATTTGACTACAAATAAAATCATACAATCAAGACAACTAGATTTTGCATAAAATGACTATTTTTCTATTCAAAAATATCTTTTTATTTCACCAAAGAATTTACAAGACATAATAGTTTTATCTCTTTACCCATATTTTTAGAACCATCTCTTTTCGCATAATATTTTATTGAACAATAAACTTTCATTTTGTTTTTTACACGAAAATTATTTTGTAATGGCATTCGCCTTGACAATCACATGTACTACTAATTAATGCATCCGATCCTGACATATTTTTCTCTAGACTGTAACGCGTAAATCTAAGATTTATATCACTTATCGGCACGATTACTATGATAACAGTTTTCTATCTTTTTTTATTACGTTCTATTCTAACTTTAGTAAAGTCCATGATTATATAAATTCACTACTAGTCGAATTTTAATTTTACCTCCAACAGATATTTATTCATGATAAATAAACAAGCATATACAACAAAATGAATATTTTCAAACTAACATTTCAATTAAATACGTTTTGAAATTCTTTATGATTTAAATATAATATTTTTTATTCGTTAGATCAGCATCTCATATGAATTATTCGGAATTTTTTTCTTTTTATTCAATAAATCTTTTATTTGGTGTCATCAACTACCGTCAAAGAAAATTTTCTTCAGAATAGTAAATAAGATCTTATTGAATATACTTTTTTTTTAGTATTATTTCATCTAGATTAAAAACGATCCACCATCAATGAATTCACAGCATATTTTTTACAATTACTTAGAAAATTTTTATTTCCATCAATAAATTAGATTATTGAAAAGTAAATATCTATTTTATTTTTATTGAAACTAATATTTTATTTTATTGATTCTTTTTGTTTTTCAGAACGAATCTTCTCTCTGTAGTATTGTTCAATACGATTTGATCAGCATCTCAAGCTCTATTCAATATTGTGTTTAATAATAAATTCTGTAATTTTATATGACCTTTTTTTTGTTTTTTGTTTTAAACTAAAAACTTTTCACAAACTATAATATTGTAAGAACGTTTCCAAATTGACGTTGTGAAGTAATGTACTTATATTTCGTTATTATTGTTTGAATTCGTCATATCGTTTTTTTTTTCAAGAAAAAAAAAACGAGACTACGCAAAATAAACTAAAATATCTTGAGAACAATTCTTTCGACGAAAGTGTCGTTGGTCGTTTTAGTTACAACTGTCTTTTATTCTTATTAGTTTCGGCATACTTGATTATGATGTCTATCATCATAAAGATACCATTGAAAAAATTGCGTCGATCTTTTTTTTTTGCAAGTAGATATGATATATTGAAGTTGGTATTTTTTTCTATTTTTATTCAGTGGATTCAATGACGGATATATTGACACACCTACGTTGCAATCATGCAGCATTTGTTGCTTCTATGACTTTTCTTTTCTATTTCAAACTAAAAGAGCACATGCATTTAGACGCAAATGTTTTCTATTTATGACAGTGCAAAGTACTCGTAACGCATTATATCGATATTCGAATTACGTCATTTTCTTCTACTTATTTTATCACGCGTTTCTTTTGACTTTTATCTAGTCATATGATTAATTTCGATAGATAATATTCGTTCAATGTTGTACCCATCGGACGATCTTTAACTATTTCCTTTTATGATACTTTTAAATAAAGAGAAATTTTTTTTTATTATTCATAAAATAGTAAATTGTCCCTCATAACCCCACCCCTTCTTTTTTTTCTTTCTTTTTCTCGCTCTTTCTTGAGATGTCTCGTCGTGGCTGTCAGTTGCTTCTTATTAAGTCTATTTTCTAAGCACAAATGGTAACTAGCATAACTTTGTAACAGTAGAAAAAAAGGAGGGTGTGTCGATAGAGACGAGAAAAAGAAGAAAAGCTTATAAGAAATGAAAGAGATCGAGAGAAAAAAAACGTCTGTATTCAGCCAAGGCCGTCCAAAGATCAACATCAACAAGAAGAGAGAAAGAGAGAGAGAAAGAGAGAGAAAGAACGAGAAAAGGGGAAAGAAAAAAAAAACCTATGTTGATTCTGACGCTATTCTAATCGTCACACCCTCTAGGATGTTTTCGTAGACGGCAGAAAATATATATACATACATATATATATAAAGACTGTTCTTTCATTTGTAACTAGAATTTATATAACCTATAAGTCTTTCTTTCTAAAGAAGTATTTGTATTGAAATAAAAAATATTTGAACAAATGGCTTCAAAAGCATGCAATCGACCACGTCCATGGAGTTTTGACGTAAACCCTTCGCCTGAAACATTATTTCATTTTCCATCAAGTCCCAGTGAACCAGGAAAATTCGATTTTTATCGGTAAAAAAATTAATTTATTGATTTTTTTTTTCTTGTAAACTTTTTCTATTTTTTCTTCTAGAGTATATCTCGCTAATCATGCGTATTTTACGGATCAGGCATCATCTGATAATTTGAATGGTAAGTAACTAAATAGTTAAATGAATATTAAATTTTATACAGGAAAAAAAAGAAAAAATTTCTTTGTGATATATTCCAAATATGAAAAGAGGAAGAGTGATAAAAAACATGACATCATTATTTTACAAACACTTTTATAGTGTACTTCGACCTTTTTCCTTTTATGAATAATATATTGAATTACTTCTTCTATTGCGTGTCACTGAGTTTATTAGCGTTTTTAAAAGCTGTTTTTTTCCTGTTCCGATATTTTTAATTTACTTCTTATTATATTAGAATATGTTCAATAAGAAATAATAAAAACAAAAACTTTCTTTATAGAACCTACTCTTCCACTATCAACATCATCATCATCAATCGAAAAAAGACGATGGTCACCATTTGCTGGTTTCATGCCATCTGATGAATCAAAATCTTCAACAATGACGACTTCACAATCATCAAATTCAATATCTACAACTAAATCGGAAGCAATATCTTCAATGAATTCTAGTGTTTCAACAAACACTAATAGTGCACAAATAGAACTAACTCATTCTGCTCAATCATTTCCATCATTGGCTGATCTTGTTAAGAATGCTATGAACAAAGGTCATCTAGGTGCAAAATTAAATCAAACTCGACGTTCATTTACTGGAACAACATTATCGTCAAAAGATCTCAATCATTTATCTCCTCAATCAATGTAAAATTAAAAGCAATACATACACCGAATATAAACATTGAGAACAGTATTTTTTATTTTATTTATATGTCAGATAAATGAATATACGCTTTTTATGTCTTTCCCTACTTCTTTTATTTGTCATTCGTCTTTTGTTCTAAATATATATATGATTGTTTGTGTCGTAGTCTCTCTTATTCTACCTCCTTCAATAATGTGACACTGCTTTCATTTGGTTATCCCCTATTTTCTTTTTTTCTTAAAATTCAGTAAATAAAAATCAATCAAGACTAATTATGAAATTTATGATTTTATACAACATTTCATAACACATCATCAAATGATATTTGCTTGGGGTTATTTCAAACTTTCTAATGATGCAATATGTAATTGCTCAAGTCATGTGATTATGTGATATTACTAATTTAGTGTAGCATTTACTTCATGTCGAAATACCTGTCATAAATCATGAGCAGAAAAAATTATTCATGACAAAAAAAGTTCGGATTTTTTTTCGTATTAAACGCATATTATTATGACAGAAACTAATGTCGTATATTAAAAACAAGAAAAGCACATGAAAGTTTTTAAGAAAAGCAGTCACTAAATAAAATAGAATGAAGAAATTAGAAATATTTTAGGTTTCTTGTATGACCTTATTTCGTGAAGATTTCACACTGAATTTTTAGATTAGATTTTCTCAGCAGAACATAAAATATTTGACACGTTAACGGTTCATCATTAAATAAAATGAGACAAATATCTGCATGAAAATGTTTTCATTATCATGTTGCTTCGTTGAAT